TAACAGGTACAAAATTTAGCCAAAAAGTAGCTGTGAATATGGAAGACTGTCATTAATAGACTGGGTAGAACTCACGAACGGCAAATCTCATAGTACTAGTCTATGGGTCAAAATGAAGCTCGTAATAAGAGGAATATAACTATTCATAGTTTAGTTGCTTAAAAGTTACACGATACGTATATATATAGCATAGTATTAATCCATAAATGGATCCCAACATTTATCATTCATAATTCTCATCAGGATATAACAATATGGAACTGTATTTATAAAGAGTATTCAGTCAAAAGTAGAAAAATATTAGGAAGATGTAAATTAATTGACTCATTAATTAAGTTATAATTGTCAGTTAAACAGTTAATCTCTATATTTAATATATTGATTAATTAATGTAGATCCCTGTTACGTGATTACATTCCAATTCATTGATTGAGTAAACATTTACAATGAGATTTATAAATAAGTGTATTTTGTTAAATGTTATCATGATCAGTTTTGAATCAATGGTAAGTCCATGAATAAATCTGGATCTTCACTGTTTTTGAACTCCATCATATCAGTCTTGTTTTATTGAAAAGGATAGCAACGTTCGATTCATTTTACAGTTGTCATAACAACAGACGTATAGGTAGAACTATCAACATTTTTTCGCACGTCATTACACATACAGCGAATGTGTTTTCTTTCCAACTCATTGACTATGGAGTGAAATTGAATTTTCTGTAAAACTATCGTAAGTATTGTCGAAAGTGAACTACGCTGTCGACTAAATATTGTCGATATTACTTACTTACTTACTTACACCTGTCACATCCAATGGAGCCACCGTGGAAGTACTAGATGGCCGTTTCGTCCAATTGTGAGACACCTCAGCAGTACGCATAAATCATCCCACCCAGGGCCTAACAGTTTCGCGCGAACGCATAAGTAATGAACCACTGAGCCGGCTTGCATTCAACGGTGTTAACGTCTAGCTTCAACCAATCCACGAAATTGCGCCACTGTCTATCATCATTGTCTTCAGTGACTTACTAGCCCACAACACACCCGGTTCAACTGCACTGGTCACTGCTTCTCACTAGAACTCCAGGAAATATCTCTTGAAGCCAGTCACTAGTGAGTGTATGTTAATTAGTATCGGAAGGGATTTTCGTGGATATTACAGTAATTTCATTAATTGAGATCGTGAGTCAATTGAAGCTAGACTACCATGAAAAATCTGGAAATACTGAGTTCCATACTAGAATGAAACAGTCGTCAGATGCTTTCAGGTTTTTAATGGTGACCGAAAATCAATCGATTTATGAACTCAGAAAAATATTTGAAATTTGTTAATAATCTACAATATTATTGGGGTTTTTTGGTCACATTAACTAACCATCTCATGATTGGCTTAGATTTATTTATTATTTATTTATTCAAACACATAAACATTGCTACAAGGAGGCACCAAATAGATATGGGATTTGTGTGAGGGCTATGATACTGGTCGGGTGCCCAGACCGAAGCAGGTGGTTTACTTAGGGGGGCACACCTCGTACTTTTGACATAGAGATCTAATCTATAAGGCAGTGGGGCAACGTAAGGCGATGCTGTTCCATGGTGGTCGGTGACCAATAATTAGTTCATACGCCATTTGTTTCCTTAGAATACTGAAGCCTATGTACACCATTGGTTTAGAATCGTGGTTTTCGAACTCCTTTAGGTGGATTCTCTATCTACCAGCCCGGAAATTCGCCTTTCGTCCTCTGAATCTCGTAAACAACAATAATGGGGCGAGAAGGCAGTGAGTGAGACTTGCCTGACAGTGGTGGTATGATCGTGGCCACTTGATAGCATTTAGAGAGAGATATGAATTTCCTCACGAGTTGAAATATCTTCCCAATTGTTTTAAACTTATCTCTAAGCTATACTTTTACCATATTATTTCCTAAATAACATTAGTCAGCTTGAATATTTTACTGAAATATTCAAGTTAACATTGTCTAATAACAACAAGATCTTATTGAAGAATTACACCATAATGTAAATGCATCACGTGAAGTGAATGTAGTATGGAATTATTTTTTTCTGAACTTACAAAGTTTATAAATACACAATAAGAATGGAGTTTAATTAAACGGAAAAAAACAACAACTGACAATATTACATATGATTATGTAGTTATATTCATCATTAATTGTGACTTCATTGTAGTGTTCTAAAGTAAACTGTATTGAGAATGTTTATTGAAGTTTAATACATTCTGTTAGTTAGTTAGTGATCAATGTAATACTACTCCTAATAAAGCATATATAGTTCACATCTGCTAGAATCACGTGTCGCGTATGCCTGAACACCGATCACCACGACGTGCAATGCTAACTGACTAGTGTTGGAGATGGCTGGGATAAAGTCAGGGGGTGGCTAAACCAAAACATGGCGTCAGTCATTGGAATCACTAAGTTCTGATCTGAGCCATGTTGGTAGATGCAGACTACTGGGTTGGTGTCCGCATGACTATCGTAACCAATGGTTGCAGACTCTGAGTGCCATGACTCAGGATCGATCTTAATGGTGTAGGTATGGCGACTTGGAATGATGTATATATGTGCCTGGTCGTACGTTGTAGCTGACTGACTAAAGTAGTGGTTAATAATAACTAAATTAAGGATCAATTATTGTCAGTTGTTAAATGAATTCACAAAATTTAGTGTTTAGCCAAATATGAGATGAGTATATAAGATATGTAGGTATTAGGTCATAAAATTATCGCCTGTTGGCTTCAGCTATGTTAATAAATGAAGACCTCTTAGTTGAGGTTCGTGCGATCAGTAGTTAGAGTCGTTAGATAATGTAGCTCAGAACTTAGTAACAGTAGGAAAGCATTATTTACGATTGTTTGATAAATCTCAAGTTCTAGTACTATGCCATACATAAATAATCACTCCGTCTTCTCAATATGTAGCCTTTCTCACTATTATTGCTTTTGAGATTATTCCAATTCATTTGTTTTGCTGATGTGGTATGACAAATTAAGTTGAAGTAATTCTTGTCAATTATAATTGACTACTATTGAATGGTATGCTTAAATACATTGTGTTATCCTCGCGTATGCTTTGAACAACAAAAGAACATAGCTACCAACTCCACATCTTTTTACATTTATCGTTCAACTACGTCCCCTTTGATAGATAGCAGCAGTAGTTAAGAGGAACTATGTTAACTGCGATGTTGTCAGGTATTAATGAAGATAGATTATTAAGATCACGAATCAATATAGGTTAGAAAACCATTGACAACCTGGAACAACTGAATAGCTGTTTCGTCCCAGTATGTGAAACCACTGTCCTTAGTCCTACAGGTAACAAATTGTGATACGAATAGCTCAGTAGTAACGTATTTGACTGTGATTCTGGGTGACACAGGACTGAATCCATCAAGAAGCATTACACTCCTGAATTACATGTTGCTAACGAGTGCCAAATATTACAAAAGCTACGTGGAACAGTGCTTCCTGCTATCCACCTAGAACCAGCACCTCAGTATAGTGCCCGCAATGCGGAGTCACTCAAATTTGTTATCACACCGAAACTTGATTATCATCAAAGAACTAAACAAACATGATACTGTCCAATAATCAATCAACTGTATATTAAAACTGACAGAGCAAGTTGTATTTGTTAAGACAACTAACGGGTACGAGGAGTTACTGGATAGATATTCCGTTCTAATTTGAGAACCCCACGAAGTGTGTTATGAACTCAACAAACCGACCGCCCGACAAAATCCCGTTAATCATCCAGCCAACATTGATTTATGTAGCATAGATCACGATTTCTAATATATAGCTAATTTCTTGTATGTCTCTAACTTGTCACATGTCTCAAGGTTGGAGGATCATAACACAAGGATAGAACTGCTACTGTTAATAACTTATTTATCACCAATCGGCTCTTGTCTTGGTTAGCACAACTTACGTATCCACAGAAGTTATAAACATGTAGTACCAAGTCACTTAGATACGCGGGCAAAGCGAAGATTAAAAACCCCACTCTCGGCTGTACTACGGCATTTGGTGACATGACATGTGCCCTCGACATGAAAATGTAATGCTATAAACTTACATAAGCTGCTATCACATACACAAGCAATACTAGCAACATATGTCACACAATAAACGTGTGCATTTTTTGTGATATTAACACGACTAAGAAGCAAACAAGGTTATTCATGAGGAAAATGTTGGAAGTTGAATAACTCTAAGGCAGTAGTACGTGAAATTATTTGGATTAACACTTAACGATGCACAATATGAGTGAGCTGACTCATAAACACGGACTGAAAACTTGTTTATAGGGATAAAGTGATTAGAAACGGTGGCGAGACACAAATGGAGTGAAAACAGAAGCATTAACAATCAAACTGGCAATCCACAAGGGAAATATTAGATCGAGCATGATTACAAAGTGGATAGACTATGCCGGCAACAAAGAACTGGAAATGAGGAAAGAAGTTTAATAGATTAACTGGACGATAAAGATAGTAAGAAATGGTTATTATTTTTCTTACAGTGCAATTTTGAGTCATATCCACATAATGTTTAACCAGACATCTGGGATCTTAGTAACCTTTAAGATGATTCCAAGAAACCTCATCATGCAGCGACTTGTTATCATATAGACAACTTAAGAATTCCTGAGATATACTCCTTCCGTGGTTACAGTAAAACGTCAAGTATTTCAGATGACATAAAACTACATGCCGATCGTTTTAAGTAAAATATAATGTAACTCTACGGGATTACGACGACAGGCAAGTGTGACCATCATGTCAAAGAGGCAGCTACGGTCGGACTACCAATATCAATAGAAAGTTGTAAATTTGGTCATTCGTTAAAGAATTCACACTTCAGATACACACATGCATTATGTAACTCCTTATTTCCTTTTTCCTCAGAATAGATAAACTACACTTGAAAGCAAATCGACCACAATACCAGCATCACCACAGCGAAACAATCACTTCTACAAGTTTAATCTTTTCTTTAAAAAAAACCGTACAACATAACCAAGGAATGACAATGATTATTTTAAATACACTAATGAACGATTCAGTTCCATGATGCGATATATAAATATGAGCGAACACTTTAGAGAGTAGAAGAGTGGAGTGGGGGAGTAGTAATAGGTGATTGAAAAGGATGTGACTAGCAAATGCAAAATTACGTAAAGTAGTAAACAAACAGAATTTGTGTCTCCAATTTATTATATATATAAATATATTCACGATTGGGTTTTCAACAAAAAACGGATGCCTTGATCTTTCACAGGTTAGAATGTTAACTTTTTACATTGTTCCCATGGGAATTCCGGTCGACCAAAGTGGCCATAAACAGCAGTTTGTAAATAACGAGGTGTTCGGAGATCTAAGTCTCTATAATTGAAAAAACATTGAAGAAATTAGCCGACATACATTTTATTTTGGGGACAAGGAAAAATAAGAGATTGTGAATGGAAAACTACTTACTTGACTATTACTCCAGGACGTAGATCGAAATTATTCACAATAATATCCAATAATTTCTTATCGCTAATCTTTGCAGTTCCATAACTGTTTACATTAATAGCCAATGGTTCTGCGATCCCGATAGCGTACGAGAGCTGAAGAAAGTGGAGACGACAGTAATACCAGTTCAAAACATATGATAAATATTTGAATGGATCGACAAACATATGTACTTTTCAGATTACTAAACGGAGCTTGGGAACCGACAATATTAGGTACACCATGTTTGCTTCGATTTACTGGATTGTTTACGACAATCTGGCTAGTAGTCAACTACTGTTCAAGGTTGTCACTTGAATATTTGGTACTTCTGTGGTGTGCACTACGTATGTGGACAGACATAAGTAGCAGGAATTGGAGTGCTCACCAACAGAAGTTTGAAATGAAGACAAGAGGTAGGAAAACAGAAGGCAATCGGAATACAAACAGCAGTGGAAAAACGATGGAGCATGTAAAGGACAATCCAAGGAAGATACGCAGATGATGTATTTAATGCATGATTTTAATATTTTGTGAAGAAACTGTGGTTTTAAAAAGTACCATATAATGGTTTACCATACCGCAGAGATTTTTATTGTCATTTTTGCTAACGACAACGGCCTAGTATGTGCTAACGCTTGAGTGCTATAAAACTGTTCAATTCGACATGTGAGTAGTTACACACATTTTAGCGGCTTCCGAATATCATGGTCACCGTCCAACTAGCTAGATCACCTAACGCCTTTCTGCGATATCTCGTGAGCATCCCATTTGGTTCATCGCACAGAACCACTTCTATTTTTACGAAAATCATTTACTTGGCACTCACATTTAATGCAAGACATAAATCAACCTCATAGTTTCAAATAATTTGAGCAATGGATAGGAATATTGTATTTCTGATGTTTCGTGACTTAATTTAAGCCACTTCTTCACAGTAAATAAGTAACCAAACATTAAATTAACACAAGTTTAAATGGTTCAAAGAAAACAATGCAAAATATTTTAGTCAAGGTGAATTTGTGTGGCCCTGTCACTGTATTAGTTTGTGTGTCACATTGTGGGTATGAAAATTGTACGCATTTGTTCTATTAAGTAGTGGTGAGTTGAGGTTTTGTGTGTGTGTGTGTGTGTGTAAAAATATGAAAAAAAATAAAGTTCAATGTGGTTGTCTGGAAAAACAGTCTAGCTTGGTTGAATATTCAAGTCCTCTTTCCAGTTGAGGATAGAGGGAATTAGCATTATGTGAAACGCTTTCCTGAATTATTTTGATATTTTTATTACAATTAGGTGATTATTGAAAATAGCATGTACTGCTGTGTTGTGTGCTACTGATATCGACAGATATCAGTAGTATGTATCATCAATCGAAATTGAAATGCCTGGAGGTAGAAGGTTAACAAGTTCAGAGAAAAGAGAACGAGAACAAAGAAATTTGAGACGACTGATTGATGTTTTGCAAATGAAGAATTTACTATATGGTTGTCAAACCGAATACATTCGATTGTCACAATTGATTGATCACTGTGTGGTGATCAATGTCATGTGTGTCAATTCCTTATTAGTGCAGATCTAATGCTATCGACCATGTTGCAATGTGGCCACCAGTCTAGGTGACTCGACACTGCGTGCACTATGTTGAGATTAGATGGTGGTTGGAAGAGGTCGACAGGAAACCCTGGACCCGGGTTTCGTGCTACATGGCATTCGTCAGCAAGGTGTACCTGTAATCTTAAAGGAACTGGTGCTCCCTGACGATTCGATCGCGTGTCACCCAGTTTCATAGTGAGATAATTTTATGATCTAATACCTACATATCTTATATACTCATCTCATATTTGGCTAAACACTAAATTTTGTGAATTCATTTAACAACTGACAATAATTGATCCTTAATTTAGTTATTATTAACCACTACTTTAGTCAGTCAGCTACAACGTACGACCAGGCACATATATACATCATTTCAAGTCGCCATACCTACACCATTAGGATCGATCCTGAGTCATGGCACTCAGAGTCTGCAACCATTGGTTACGATAGTCATGCGGACCCCAATCGAGTAGTCTGCATCTACCAACATGGCTCAGATCAGAACTTAGTGATTCCAATGACTGGTGCCATGTTTTGGTTTAGCCGCCCCCTGATCTCATTCCAGCCATCTCCAACACTAGTCAGTTAGCATTGCACGTCGTGGTAATCAGGGTTCAGGCATACGCGACACGTGATTCTAGCAGATGTGAACTATATATGCTTTATTAGGAGTAGTATTACATTGATCACTAACTAACTGAATGTATTAAACTTCAATAAACATTCTCAATACAGTTTACTTTAGAACACTACAATGCAGTCACAATTAATGATGAATATAACTACATAATCATATGTAATATTGTCAGTTGTTGTTTTTTTCCGTTTAATTAAACTCCATTCTTATTGTGTATTTATAAACTTTGTAAGTTCAGAAAAAAATAATTCCATACTACATTCACTTCACATGATACATTTACATTATGGTGTAATTCTTCAAAGAGATCTTGTTATTATTAGACAATGTTAACTTGAATATTTCAGTAAAATATTCAAGCTGACTAATGTTATTTAGGAAATAATATGGTAATAGTATAGCTTAGAGATAAGTTTAAAACAATTGGGAAGATATTTCAACTCGTGAGGAAATTCATATCTCTCTCTAAATGCTATCAAGTGGCCACGATGATAGCACCAACGCCAGGCAAGTCTCACTCACTGCCTTCTCGCCCCATTATTGTTGATTACAAAATTGAGGGAACGAAAGGAGAATTTCCGGGTTGTTAGATACAGAGGATCCACCTAAAGGAGTTGGAAAACCCCGATTCTAAACCAATGGTGTACATAGGCTTCAGTATCCTAAGAAAACAAATGGCGTATGAACTAGTTATTGGTCACCGACTACCATGGAACTGCATCGCCTAACGTTGCTCCACTGCCTTATAGATTAGATCTCTATGTCAAAATTACGAGGTGTGGTCCCCTAAGCAAACCACCTGCTTCGGTCTGGGCACCTGACAAGTATCACAGCCCTCACGCGAACTGCATATCTATTTGATGTCTCCTTGTACCAATGTTCATGTGTTTAAATAAATATGTAAAAAATAAATCTAAGCCAATCATGAGATGGTTAGTTAATGTGACCAAAAAACCCCAATAATATTGTAGATTATTAACAAATTTCAAATATTTTTCTGAGTTCATAAATCGATTGATTTTCGGTCACTATTAAAAACCAGAAAGCATCTGACGACTGTTTCATTCTAGTATGGGACTCAGTGTTTCCGGTTTTTTCATGGTCTCAACTATTCAAATTACTATGATATCCACGAAAATCCCTTCCGATATTAACTAACAGATGCTCACTAGTGACTGGCTTCAAGAGATATTTCCTGGAGTTCTAGTGAGAAGCAGTGACCAGTGCAGTTGAACCTGGTGTGTTGTGCGATAGTAAGGCACTGAAGACAATGATGATAGACAGTGGCGCAATTTCGTGGATTGGTTGGAGTTAGACGTTAACACCGTTGAATGCAAGCCGGCTCAGTGGTCTAGTGATTAGGCGCTTGTATGCGAGACCGACAGATCCTGGGTTTGAATCTCATGAGGAATGAAAGTAGATGGGCACTACTGAGGTGTCCTACAATAAGACAAAAGGACTGTTCAGTGTTTTCAGATTTTTCATGGTGGTCTAACTTCAATTAACTCATGAATTCAACTATTAAATTTAGTTGATTATTAGGCATAGAAATGAATTATGTCTAGACCGTATGACTAGTCGGTGTTTTGTTTACCTTGAGAAACCTAATGGACAATAATGAAGATGACATTGATAAAATCAAAAAGAATGTTTCATGAAGTATTTGGTTTTTCTCTCTCTCTGTGTGTGTGTGATGTGAAGTGTATGAAACGCTTAATCTTGTGATCTTGACCGTACACCAGATATGCAATATACCCTATTAGATTATAACATAAAATCTTGCAATCTATACTAATAGACTCCCTGACGGATTCGATCCCGTGTCACCCAGCTTCACAGTCAGGGACATTACCACTGAGCTATCCGGGCCGCCGTCGACTCACCTAGACTGGTGGCCATATTGCAACATGGTCGATAGCATTCGATCTGCACTAATAAGGAATTGACACACATGACATTGATCACCACACAGTGATCAATCAATTGTGACAATCGAATGTATTCGGTTTGACAACCATATAGTAAATTCTTCATTTGCAAAACATCAATCAGTCGTCTCAAATTTCTTTGTTCTCGTTCTCTTTTCTCTGAACTTGTTAACCTTCTACCTCCAGGCATTTCAATTTCGATTGATGATACATACTACTGATATCTGTCGATATCAGTAGCACACAACACAGCAGTACATGCTATTTTCAATAATCACCTAATTGTAATAAAAATATCAAAATAATTCAGGAAAGCGTTTCACATAATGCTAACTCCCTCTATCCTCAACTGGAAAGAGGACTTGAATATTCAACCAAGCTAGACTGTTTTTCCAGACAACCACATTGAACTTTATTTTTTTTCATATTTTTACACACACACACACACACACAAAACCTCAACTCACCACTACTTAATAGAACAAATGCGTACAATTTCCATACCCACAATGTGACACACAAACTAATACAGTGACAGGGCCACACAAATTCACCTTGACTAAAATATTTTGCATTGTTTTCTTTGAACCATTTAAACTTGTGTTAATTTAATGTTTGGTTACTTATTTACTGTGAAGAAGTGGCTTAAATTAAGTCACGAAACATCAGAAATACAATATTTCTTCTCATTAGGATATAACAACAATATACTTATATATTTATGGCTAACACATAGATATCACATTGCTAGGGATAATTCATTCTAACATCACTAAGGGTTGTACACTTAATGTTCATCTCTTCTGTAAAGTTTGTCGGTGTATATAATGAACAATTAGATGTTAACTAAATGTTTTCAGTGTTTTGTATTATTACCATAATAAAGATTTTACCGCTGGACTTTTAATCTAGCGCATTTTACGAATACATTGAATTTTGTTAAACATTACTCATTGTGATCCTCAGTGAGTTAATTTTAGCCATAAGCAATGCTGAATTTCCTATTTATAGATATTTAATAGTTCAATCTAGGATACCTAACTTTACCGACCTTTCTCCTTTAACTTTCCTTATGGAGTCTTTTATAAGTATCGATCTTAAGCCTACAATTGTTATATTAGAAGAATTCGCCGTTGAGGGCCTGTATTTTTCACTAATTGGACCGTTTTGGTATTGTGTAGTGGTTCAGTAAGGTCACTTAAATAACTACAGATGGAATTTGTATGCCGGTTTTAGAGATATTGTAGAGATTCATGATAAAAGAATCCTTGAGGCTTGATTAGTGATGTTTTAAGTTTAACTTAATACAGGGTTCGGACATTAAAGTTCCTTCTTGTAATAATAACATTCCGTAAGCCTGAACCACTTGCACTGGTAACAAATACGGTGGAAAAGAAACGAGTTTGATGACAGGCTAGGTGAATACCCGTTTCCAATAGCTATTCATATTAAAAGGACAGCTCCTTATGGAACCAAACAATCATACTTCACTAGTGACATTCATTGATCTAAGACCTGAAAATTTACTGCCCTTGGTTATACTACTCTGTATTTGACATGATTGAACCTCGTGAGACAAGAATTTTAGTCAGTAATGCTTGATAATAGGCAGGCCAAACCACTAGTTGTCTACACTGAACACTACACAGAATAAGAACTTGATATTCGATCCACTGAGACATTTTTAAAACCTAGAACTCCTAGTACTTACCCCTAAATAACGAACAAGCATCAGATTTAAATAAAGCGATCTAACAGATTTATCTAGGCTGGGTGGAAATTAAGAAATGAAATTGGTGTCTGAATAGTCGATGAACAGTTCACTGCACTGATAATTTACTAAGCATATTTGTGAAAATATGAAGCTACAATGGAAAAGGTGATAGCTGAAATGAGTACAACAATATTGGTTGTATGATACTTATAAAAACATCCCAGAAAGTAAGCTATACCCATGATAACACATTTCAGTTACCTGAACTAGGACACGGCGACAAAGGCCAGATTTTACAAGGGATTTAGCCACCCAACGTGCTGCATAAGCTGCGGATCGATCAACTTTGGAATAATCTTTCCCAGAAAACGCCCCGCCACCATGTGCACCCCAGCCTCCGTATGTGTCTACAATGATTTTTCTGCCTGAGAAAAAATTAGTCAGCCAAAAACGATGAAAATGAGAAAAAACCTTCATATGTTGTAGTCTAACTATGAACCGTGTATAATGAATTATCATGTAAGTAGAAAATACAAAAATCAATGATTAAATCAGTTACAATTTTTTCATAAGCAGCGTAGAATCTAGCATATACGTGCAGCGATTCAAGTTATCCCATCCTATCAGAACGATGAGATGAAACTATCAAGAAAAATATCAGAGGGGCGTGATCAGTAACAATATCAGTGGTATGAATTTTAGGTTAATTTATAATTTGGATGATCCCATTGCTTATATTTGCACCTACTAACATGGCCCCCAAACGCCATGGTAAGGACGAGGGTGGGGGGAGTTAGCTCTCCCTCTCGAATCGCTCTCACATGGCCACCTGTACACAGTGACAATCAGGGAAGTCCTACTCACTGCCTTCTCGCCACTGAGGTGTTGTTTATGGAATTGAGAGAACGAAAAGCGAATGTCCGGTGCTATAACTCGGTTGGTGGATATGGAGGACCCACCTAGGGCGGTTGGAAAGCCTGATTACAAACCAATGGTGCACATTATCTCTAAAATCCCGAGGAAACAAACGGCGTATGAACTTATTGTTGGTCACCGGTTACCATAAAACTAAGTCTCTTAAAGTCGCTCCACTTCCTTGTGGTTTAGACTTTTAGGTTGAAGGCTCAAGGAGTGGCCCCTTAAGAAAACCACCTGTTTCGGTTAGGGCGCCCGAGCAGTATCTCAGCCCTCACACAAATCGAATGATTTGTGTGGTGCATACATGTCTGGTGCCTTCTCGTACGAATGTTTATGCGTTTAAATAAATAAGTAAAACCAATATGGCTTAGTCCAACTTTTGATTCAACCGAGTGTTTTCAACTTCATACGATTTAAAATAATGTTTTTACAATGCATATGAAATATATTGTTCAGAATTTACAATAACATCTCCACAGATTTCGTATAATACAGTTTGTACATCCGTATACTGGGATATTACATGACACTTGAAATGCGATACAACCGCAAACGTCTGCACTGAGACACTGACGACTAACGAAACTCCTCTATCCAGATGAAAATGTGAATGAGAAAACAGATTCTCTCCGCCGACGGATTCGATTTCGTGTCACAATCAATGAGCTATTTGGGTCGTGACTGACCAATAGGACTGAGATATATTTACAATTGACTGTTTGTCGTAGAACACAGAAGAGAAAAATGACGTAACCGAGTGCATGTATCTATTTAGATAACTGACCCACATAATAAGAACGGATGCATATAGCATAATTAAACGATATTTCATGATCAAAATAATAATAAAATGATAAAAGTCTTATGTTGTTCAAATGGAGACAATAACAATATTATTTTCTGAATTGGTTATATGTTATATGTTAATTTGCCCCCAAATGCCCTGGTATAGCCGAGAGTGGGGTGGGTCCGCCCTCCCTCTCAAAATGCTCTCACATGGCCACGCGTATACAGCCTCTACCAGGGAAGTCCTACTCCCTGCCTTCTCGTGGCGGGGTGTTGTTTACGAAAGTGACAGGAAGAAAAGCGAATGTCCGGCGCTTTAACCGGATCCCAAACCAAATCGATGGTGCACATGGACTCCAGTATCCTGAGGGAACAAATGGCGTATGAACCAATTGTTGGTCACCGGCTACCATGGGACTGCATCTCCTCACGATGTTCCACTACCTTGTGGGTCAGACCTTTAGGTCAAAGGCTCGGGGCGTGACCCCCTAAGAAAACCACCTGCTTCGATCTGGGCACCCGGGTAGTATCCCAGCCCTCACACAAATCTCATTCGATTTGTGTGGTGCATATGTATTTGGTGCCTCCTTGTACCAATGTTTATGTGTTTAAATAAATAAATAATATGTCAATTTAAACTACGAAGGAGAAATGCAGAGTTGCTTCGACAATTATATGTAAGTTAATAGACACTATTTGAATTACATGTATTAAGATAATATCGTGTATTGTGAAAGTGCATATTTATTGCGGTTCCGAAGAGGTGATGGTCTGGATTGTTAAACTATCCTATCTACTCAAAGTGTTATACCTTTTTATTATGAAATAACCCAGAGAAAAAGCCGATTTAAATAAAATTATTTAAAATCTTCCAAGCTTTTCAAAAAATAACTTACCAGTTAAACCAGCATCACTTTGAGGACCACCAATTACAAATCTTCCAGCTGGATTTAAATGATATTTAGTTTTTTCATCTAAGAGATTTGTAGGGATTACTTCTTTAATAACATATTCCATTAAATCAGCTCGAACTTTTTCCAAAGTTACATGTTCATCATGTTGTGTAGAAATGACCACTGTATGTACTCGTAAAGGTCGACAAGCTCCATGATCATTTAAATACTCTACGGTCACCTAAAGTAAACGAAAGAAGCAAGTGTCAGACTATAATAATAATAATCGTCTAAATTGTACATCTTTCCTACCAATAAACAAAAATGAAGTGAGAGAAAATATGAACTACTATTATCTTAATTATTCATTTAATTGTTTTCTCGTTCAACAGAACAGTTCAGCCAGTCAGTAACAACGTAGAACTTTGTACATACGTACATCAGTTCGAGATGCCATACCATATTAGCACAGAGATGCAGTTGTTAACTCAAATCCCGTAGTCATAGAGCAGTTGATAAAACTGAACTGATTTCGAATAACCACTGATTGGGTTGTCCGAGAATTAGAGTAATAAGATATTATACACATGTTTGATATGATCTGTACTCTTCTCTGCTTTAAATCAGACATACTTGTTCGATTTATTTGTAGACAGGACTGAGTGGTCACTTATATATTGAAATGGTGTTTTCGGTATATTTGTTGAGGATCATGGCTGAGATTATCCCCAACGTTTCTAAGTGTCCTACGTGTGTCGTAGACAGAACTTCCAGTTTTCTGTTCAAACAGTATAAATGCTGCATATTAAAGTGGAAATCTCATTTCAAGCGCGAATTGGTATTGTATTTGTGTTTTTCATCCAACATTTTGAGCTGTGCTACATGTCCGTACAAGAGGAATTTGTGAACAATCTTATACCAAAAGGTCTAACCATGGAACTTGGTAAAATTGAGCACTAAACCACACACTAGATAACACGACATTAAACATAAGTTTACAAAATCAATTAAAATATTGTTTATAACAGAGGAACATAAATGTCGAATTTCTTTTGTAGTAGGTAACTTTACTTATTTCCTGCATAACTCCCCATTATAAAATATTACTAAAATTCAGTAGCTGATGTCATAATTGAACCATTTTTATGACTTGCATGCCATGGAGCATAATATTTTTCTATAAAGGCAAAGCTCTAGCCCTATTTATCCTTAATTGTATTTCCATATGTATTAATTTGCTTTCCTACATCTAATGACATTACTCCAACTCTTCACTGTTTACCATCTAAGTCTGCCGTTACACGGAATTGAACTGTGAGTACATTATGATTCATGGTTTGGGTATCTTTGTTGTTTACACTGTTTGCTATAATAGTGCTGAATTTTTAGACAAAAAACGTTACTCGATCCTTAACTTGAAGAGTAAGTGAGTGATTGGATTCAAGATTTTACTACCAGTGTATGATATTTCAATCAATTTTGCAGAATAAGCAGGAACATTGTGACCACTTTCGATAGTCGACCTTGAAAGTTGAGAACGACGAATAATTTGAGCAACTTTCTACAAATGTAAATAACATTATGGGACGTGATTTACACCTTCGAAATGCAAAGTACTCTACAAGACTGGCATGAGCTTATTACCTGCACTCACGCCTTTGGTGCGACTGTGACGTTAATCTGGCTGTACAAGACCAGGTTCACAACGGATCAGCGAGTACTATTTTGCTCTATGTTTGTGAAACTTGACCTTCCCGAGTTGAGGACATTCGGGAACTCTTTTGCTGACTATCATCGTCTTCGAATGACTGCTGACATTTAATTGGAACACCATGTTAGTAATGCTGAGGTTTGGAAGTTGTGACCACAACTCAATTAGCGTCACCATCACGAAACACCGGATTTCGGGGCTTGGACATGTGTTACGAATGCTATCCCAGAAGTTTCCACGTCATCAGTTGTTTGCCAACGCTGAGACGAAATGGAAAAAGCAGAGGGGTGGTCAGATTATAACATGATGGAAAGCTGTATACGACTGGTATATCGGTTCATCATGACCACGCCAATTGGAGTACTAGGAATAGTGCAACTCGGTGGAATGAGACGTTATCAAAATCGGTGTAAAACAAGAGCCTATGCGGACCATGCTGTAGTTTTTCATACTCGTCACAGGAGTGAGAGGAAATATCTTGACCGAAATTGTTCCTCCTGGCTGTATTTTTATGACTGAAGTGACCTTACAACCACAAACTGTTTTTTTCAATAACCTTATCCATTTATTTATTTTGATTACACTCCACTCTTCCTCCCCATATTTCTCTAAAACTCCATTTCCCTATTTACGTGGCGCATACTTATTTTGGCACCCATTTATATCAGTATTTGTGTTGTAAATAAACAATGAAAAAATGTCGCGAGTCAATGAAACTAGACAAGTTCGTTTATCTTTGCAACTGTGTGGGTGCTAACTGGTGGTATTATATAAGCCCATTCTATGTAACAACGAAAGGTAGAGCAGTTTATATCAATTTTTAGCTATTCATAGAACTATGCTGATGTTAGTCTGGCTGTAAAACACGAGTATGCGACGCATCACTGAGACCAGTTATATGTTCTACTTGTAAAACTTAGTCTTTTATAGGTTGACAATGTTTGGTGAGTGTTAGGTCATTTCTGGTCTCCAGAAAATTGCTCATATTTAGTGGTAACGTTGTGTCAATAATACTGAGATCTGTGAACGTTTTTTATAATTATGGTAATCTGATTTGTAACACAGACTGAACACCTACTCCAGTGACTACTGTTGGTAATCTTTTGTACTGAAATATACGTCATGAAATGACGAAAGTAAAAAGTAAAAACGTTAATACCATATTTTCTACTAGGTTCAAACTACTAATATTATCATCACATAAACAGACAAGATACCAATTATTTGAAAAATACGACACACTTATGCTAGTAGAAATATTTAGAAGCATAACTTAGAAATCAAGTGTCTTATGAAATAACCGAATATCCTTTATGTAAGAGATTAATGATAGTCAGACATTAACGTAGAGCCTGGCAAAGATGGGCGTTTGCTCAAGTTACTATACCAGGTTAGCACGGTAAGATAAAATTAACATGATGTACGGCATAAGAAATGTAATGTACTGTAACGTAGTACATATGATAGGAAGACTAAGGGTTGATACGGCTTTAAGGGTCAGAAAGGAAAGATATACATAAAGTGATCTTGGAAGAAAGGAGTATAAAAAGTGGATACATCTGCTGTATTATAAACGACTTTGAGCCATGTTTTCTAAAGTCTTCAACCAATGGTCGCAGTTGTCACGCAAACTACAACTATACAGTCTGCATTTACCAACATGGTTCAGACTGCGACAGTTGTTAACCGTTTACAATGTGAAGTAGGAAACATATTCTGAAATGTTTGAGAATCTTTATTATGAAGATAAACCTGAGCATATACGGGGCATATAAAATACCATGTTAAGACTGAACTTTGATTTTGTAGGATAACAAAGAAACTTACTTGAGTCTTTGAATCAGGACCCGCCCACGGCAAAATACCATTACGCCTACATGTGGCTATGCGTTTATTTAAAGCGTGTGATAGGGTAACTGTTAAGGGCATACATTCTTCAGTTTCGTCAGTTGCATAACCAAACATTAATCCCTATAAGAATAAATGAAGAACAAGTACGAAGTATTAAAAATATCCTTGTTTTGTGAAGTAATATCCCTGACATAAGTCTTATGACAAATAAAAATATCATCTACTTAAAACAGGTGCCGAAAGATAGAAAGACTGGCATTTAATTTACCAGAAGCTATTGGATAGGGGAACACAACAAAACGATAAAATTCTGATTTAAATACGATCAGAATGCCTGCTGACTACTGATAAATTTTACACTTTGAGCACCTAGCATATAATATCCCTAAGGCTATTATCCTACTAGAAAGATTATTTAAAACAATAAGTTAAAATGTACGCTGAAGGTAGTCTGTAGATTACAAGTTGAACTTAACAATGTACGACAATTGCACATTTTGCTTCTAATTATGATTGGACAAAGATCACAATTCTGTGGCCAGTGAAAACCAGGAAACACTAGATGGCTGCTTCATCATAATACAAGACTCCTCAGTAGTCCGCAATCAAGACAGATCATAGGATTGAACGCAAGGACTTTAGTTTAACGGCTGCTGTTTATCTTTTAAGACCACCTTCCATTACTTCGAGAGGAGAGCTGTCATGCACGAGCTCCCCAAGTTATTCACTGATGAGATGACCATTGACAAAGACGGTGGAAATCGTCAAGTTGTCAGTTCACATTATAACTTGTTAGTTAGACAACAACCGACAACTAGGAAGCACTAAGTCATAAATACACGCTTCCGAGCCTCATATTAAGGTGGAACAGCTAACTGATGTTTCTTGATTTTTAACGGTTGTTTATGACCAGAACGTGATGTAAACGATAAGAATTCAACAATTTCGACAAACTCTCGGTACTAAGAACCTCGTTTTCTTAAAAATTAATTACATATATTTTTGGCCATTATTTTGACTCAGCCGACGGTCTTATTTGATTGTGGAATGTCTTTATCTGAAGATCATCATCCCGCAAGTAAATAAAATGACTAACATTCAAAAGTGCCTAAGGATAATTTTGGATTTACTGAATAAGAACTTCACATCTGATGGGTATTCATTGTCAAAAAACATAAAGTAACGTCTTCGAGTTTATTTATACCGACATGAGTGATGTGAAAGATAAGGATTTGGTTTATATTGTATCTTAACTCAGTACATGTATTAATCCAAGTATTTACAAGATCGCCAGAATATCACAAATATGGATAGCCCAAAGATTTATTAAATTTTATCATTGACAACAAACTAGATATCTGAACATTCCTTAGATAGGTGTCACAGTGTGAGAACATCAGTAATAACTTGAATATTCTAGAATTGACAATGTTAAAGTGGTGCAAAGGTAACTCGGGTAAAGCTGAGGCCGATGTAAACTTCATACGACCGAGCAACTGTGTAAAGACTAATTCTTCGAAAGTAAAGACACACGATTAATCAACTGAAGTGCCAGAATCAGTAAATGGTAATCTTTGCGAGATCGCAATTTATAGACGACCTTTGCCTGACGTTACATTGCCCTTAATAATGTCGACTTACCTACCGGGTTAGAAATTAGTGAGAAATCAGGATTAAAATTTACAGCTGCATGTTAGGGTTAAGAACTATATTTAGAGTTTTTATCACGAACTGACATCAGCTATAATGCCAAAACGCTATTTAATCAAATGAATAGGTGATGAAATCAAAGACTTATTATCTTATTGGTTCGTCCATCAATTATAGTCTCGCAAAAACTCTAATTACGGCTAGAAGCGTGACAAAAGACGAATGAAACATCGGAAATTATAATAAAACAAAAACACGACCGACAATCAGCACTATCTAGACAGATGACTTCTAACACTTCCGGGTTGCGTAATGTCTGAAACACGCATAAAGGGACGAACAGGATAACTGAAATGGCATTTGAAGCTAATGACATGCAATTGGTGCATTATGATTGACAATGGTGGATTTCTCTTAGCATCAAAATGCTGAGGACGTAGACAAGGTTAACAACAGCGATCAATAAGGAGAATAGATCAAGCTGGGGTGCCTATATTGACAAACCGCATAAACCTCAGTGTACACTCCTAAGTGAAAAATTCCAAAAAAGCTGGACAATTTACCAGTCGAAGTTGGGCGTTAGAAAACTTCAAGATAAATAAATATACATATATAAACAACTCGTCAAACACGAAAAAAATTACTTGGTCTCCAGCACCAATATCTTCAATTTTTCTTCCTTCATGTACACCCTTCGCGATATCTGCACTTTGTTGCTCAATCACTGTTAAGACATTGCAATTCTTATAATCTAAACCCTTGTGAGTATCATCGTAACCGATATGCTTCACAACATCGCGGACAGTTTTCTGTATGTCAACTACAGCGTTCGACGAGATTTCGCCCCCAACAAGAATAAGTCCACTTTTTACGAAGGATTCTAATTTAGGAATAACAATTTGGAGAGACATACCACATGCTACTTTAGCCTCAGGATCCTGGCGCAGAAACTCATCAAGTATGGCATCACTTATCTGATCACAAACTTTGTCTAACCCCTAAATATATTATGTCGAGCGGTCAAATACCTGGGTGTCCTTCACCAACAGACTCGGAAGTGAACAAAAATGTATCCGATTCGGCATTCCCACCGTTTGTAAAAGAAGGCATCCTTGGACAGTCTAGTCACACGGTCAGAAATTTAAATGTGCACAGATAGAGCAGAAGCAGAATCAATCACGTTAGCGTAACTAAACAATCTCAAAAATAAATAATTGCGCAAGTTTTCATGTTTATTCTAGTCAGGGATGTACTAACTATGAAATTTAGGTGATAGTAATCTGTACAACTGGCGAAGGTTAACAGTACCGAATACGGTGTTCTGGTAGAAAACTACTAAGTTATTCAGCATGTAATATATTTGTGACGAGCTTGTACAAACCAGTTGATTTCCGTGCCTTGGAATCTTGATGTCTAAAATAATTTTAAGTGTTTGTTTTGGTCGCCTAATCATTTAACTGCACTAGCCCTAGTGAACTTAATAATTATATTATATAATATGAGTCTCGAGATGTGGTGTAATTGTAAGAGAAATACAGGGGGTGGTTTCAAAGTAATTAGTTTCTGTAAAAGAAGTACACATGTGAATGCTTAAAAACGAATAAGTGAGCCCTAACAGATAGTGCAGGATGGACATACCGCAGTTACTAAACTGAAGGCCAATATTCGGGACTAAGTATGTAGATTGAAGGGTTCTTTTACCATAAAAAAATCAATAGAGAGTGTATGACCATCCAGGATAAGGCTTTATTACTAAAATTCGCAATAGTAGCTTTCCGGAAGTTAGAGGTTATATATTGTAGGGCCAGTGAAATATCACTGAGCACTAACGAAATCATCCGGCAGTTGGGTCACTGAATATCGAACAGATCATCGATCCCTGTCAGGGCCAATGACAACCAACGCCCATAAGTTGATCGTATGCCATGGACTTTCACATGCGATGGTGGTCTCGCTATCTTCTCTGTACTCATTCTTACTAATATATTTCCCTAATAACGTTCTTTATGTTGTACGGTCTTCAAAGCAGCTATAGTACTTTGATACTTCGAAGGGGTATTCCACACTAGATAATGACCACAAAGTGTGACTTTGAAGCTGGCTGGTTCATCACACCATTCCCGTCTAACTCGAATAGGCCCCCAATCATTTGACATAAATCATCTAAGTTGGTAATTTACAATATGAATGTTTTAAATTAACAGCGATAAGGACTAATACTGACGTTTGTATCTAATATAGTCTGTATAGTCTTTGAAGTAGTAAAACTCCTCTAACCATGAGTTTTTAGGATGCTCGGCAGGCCTGATATTGCTAATTCATTTTTATTTAGACTGAGGGTAATTCAGAAACCACTAAAATGAATCACAGTGGAAGAATCAACCTAGTTTACATGACCACTTCAGTTCCCAACACTTTCCTCTGATTTCCGTTTCAAATGTCCTCTCCATATTGTCGCAGACAGCTTGATACAGCAGAAACGTTTCACCATCTGTCGCCTGTGTTTGTATACGCTCCGTATTACCAAGCCCTAATAGAGAGCTGCGATTAACCTTGAATGTGTCACAAGAGTCAGTCTCCATGCGGCCCAAGTGATGGTCGTGATAGGAATCTGCATTTATATTTTGGCGCCCAGAGTGATGGATAAACTCAGAATAAAACTTACGCAGGTATTGTTGCAAACCAATCGTTTGCCCTTCTTGGCCCCTGAAATTATGTAGCCACTGCGGAGCCGTAGGGTCAGTTCAACATATGAAATGCCTGCCAAGAATGCATGTTTTCTACTTCTGTATGAACTCACGACAGCTAACATTTCTCTTTGTGTGACTCAGTAATTCTTTTCAGACCGATTCAATGTTTGCCCTTCATTCTCAATAACATGCTCTTTAACAGTAGGTCTAATCTGGTTAAAATCACTCCAGTTCCTGTTTCGCTTGCGTCTGTACCTGAGATGTACTTATCCGCGATCATCATAGTGTTCGGCAGTGTTATCAAGAGTGCTGAACATACTGCGTCTTTTGCAGGACTTAAAGTGTTGTTTCAACTTCCCAAACACTCGAAATGCACATTTTGATCTGTTAAAAGCGTTCGCCGGCTAGCTATTTGGGTATAGATTTTTCGAAGTGCCTGTAGTAACCCCCTAGACCAAGAAATTTATGTATTTAATCCGTGGGACTGGCACAGGCCAGTCCTTTAAGGCAGGCTCTTTTTTCGGAACACTGCGAATACTGTCAGGCCCGATCATGAGACGCGAAAAAAGTTGGTCCTTTACGCAATATGTTGCATTTGCTAGGTTGAACATTCAAACCATCATCACTAAGTGTCAGTAACACTAGCTGAAGGTGGTGAAGATGTTATTCGAGCTGATTGCTGAGATCACTGTTATCGTCTAGGCAAATCATGTACACCTTCAAGACTAGATCCTTCAGGACTAACTGCATGGAACTTTGAAAGATCGCAAGGCTATTGGTCATCCTGAGGGGCGTTGTTCGTAACGCGCATAACCTGGTTGGAATGACAGGCGCCGTCTTGACTTTGTCCTTTTAATGTGCCTCAGCCTGTTAGCAGCCTAACGCTAAGTCTGAAGTTGAAAATCGTGAAGTGTTCGCTAGTGCCTCCAAGGTTTCTTTAATCCATGGCAAAAGGAATGAACCCTTACGAGTGACCACATTTAGCTTCTTATAATCAGCATAGTCTTACCGTTCTATTATTCTTTCTGCTGAGGACTATTAGAAATCCCCTTGGAGGATGTGATGGTGTAGTAATTCCCTTATCTTGCATATCCTTTATCACATATTACGACCCTGATCGAAATTGAAACGAGATTATACGGTGCCCTTGTATAACGGACGTGGCACTTCTTGTGTAGATTTAATGCTTTAGCGGTTTAGTCCTTCCTACTTCTGCCTACCTTCGCACAATAGCCTTAGAACTCGCCTCCCGTAACTTACAAACTTTGCTTCAGCAACCGCTCGGCGATCCTGACAACAACCGCTCCATCAAGGAGTTAGCAATCATGTTGATAATTTGATGTAGAGCAGTGCTCAATTTTCGTTTCTCAACTTTAAACTGCGTACTGAAAACTTCGTTGTCGGGCTTACCTTATGTTATGAACGGGGAATTAAGAAGCCCAGACAATTACGAAAGCTATTTTCTTGGGACGTTATTGCATTTCATTCAAAACCTGTAAAACACTTACATTTATTTTTGTCCCTATCTTATTCTACATAACACGAGCTTTCGTTCTATGTACCATTCACTAGCATACCCTTTTTTGTTCCAAAAATATTGTAATTTAAACATAATATTTTGCACTAAATTTTCTACCCTAATTCCCTGTTTCGGGCATAACTGTATTTTTCTAAATTATCGTACGTCGTGGTCAAGATATGCACTTATTTATTCATGTACATTTTTGTAGTAATCCGAATTCAGAGAATCCAGAGTTCAGTGTTCCAACTGTCTTGTCTTCTTTCACTTGCGTGCTTGCCAACCAATCAGGATTTAGAATTGTTCTCTCTACCCCATCTCGAACTCACGCGTATTAGACTCAAGGTTAAGCCACTCAGCCTAACGCGTCAAGGTCATAATTTAGACTAGACGAATCAAGGTCAAGTCATAACAAGTATCACAGGGTAAAAGCGATTCAAGGTCATAACACCTTATCTGTAATAATTTTCCTTCGAAGAATACGGGCAAATAAGAACGAAAAGTTCCAATTCAATAATCCTTCCTGTATAAAATGGCTAGGTGTTATAATCAGGTCCAGGAAACTCAATAAGCCTGGGAAGAGTTCTGATGAAGAACCACCTACCACCCAATAAAACACTCAGTAACTTCCACACCGTAGCCCCAAGCATTGTGCCTAAAATTCTTTCAAAACTGCCACAATCAGAATTACTCAAACTGATTTGCTAAGAATTCGCGAAATACTTCATTTCAAGGCAGCTAAAAACATATTAGCACAACCGGAAGTATTACATCTCCAGCTCGTAATAAGCGCGCAATAAGTACGAAGAAATCATCAGCTGGTACAAATACCAAGACCGCGACAGCCTAAATGGGAATTCAGATTCCTGCACATCTCGCACATCTCCCTAGATCCATCGTGTGTCTGTCCGAGTGCGTATTGGGTATAGTTTCTTTATGATTTAAAATGTACTCATTAGTATTAGAATTAACTACAAAAATCGGGACAGACTCACTTTATTCCTGGGGTTGTATACAATCGCCGTGTCGGTTGCGTACCGAAACCACTAACTAGAATTCAAAGCACAGATTTCTCAACACTATCATCCACCACGAAATAATTTTGGGTCTTTATATCCCCAAGTTATGAATGATATGACTTCATTTAAAACATATTTCTAACACTGACTAGAGTAAATATTAGGAGTGACTTCGTGATAAGAATAAACAGAAGTTGATATGAAATCATCCGAATTGTAATCAAACTCGAGCTCATTTAGTACTCGTGCTTCGCATTGAACAAGTTTCCCACAAGAAACAAATGCATTATGAGGACAAATAATATTTGGTATGACATCAAGATTTGATTCTTCTAAAATAGATTCCTCAAATTTATTAAGAATTTAATTGCAGAGTAAAGGATCATTAGAAAATTCAGCATCCATCAAAACTATTGTAGATCACCAACGTAGATGAATTTCTAGCATTCGTATCCTCTGTTTGGCCATGGAACTTAGCAATTGGAAATTAGGCAGGCAGTGGTAAAAAAAAGCAGAACATTCTAGTGGATAGTGGTTAAGCAGAAAGATGAATTTATAGTCGATAGTTAATCTCGTCTTATTTATACCAGTGGATAAGGTACAAAGAGATATGCGTTCGTGTTGCCTTGTGGCTATACTCACGAGTGGTTGATATTTTAACAGACATATTACACAGGAGCATTTACATGCTGCTAATGCTTTTTAAAGAACCACGATAGCCGATTATAATCGTAGTTGATTGGTTAGTTCTGTCGATTGAACGAATTATCTAGGTTTAAATGCTAATCAACATTGACATGAAGCAACGAAAGTTCACAGTAACAGATTAACATAGGCGATGATAAAAATGAAAAAGAATAAGTATAGAATACAATAATAAAGATTATAGTGATAGGTTGCGTTATTCGAAGTCTTGCTCGCCAGTGTAGATCACCAACGTAGATGATCTATGTCGAAATGATTGGAGGCCTACTCGAGTTAGACGTGAATAGTGTGACGAACCAACTAACGTCGAAGTCACACCTCGTGGTCAGCACCTTACGTGGACTACCCCCATTGACGTAACAAGGTACTAT